ATCTTATTTTATCTTAAGCTTTTTGGCTTTCTTCCTCTACCATGTGCTAGAGGAAGAGATTTGAAGTATCCACTAATTTGTTGTATCTCAGCCAGGCCTTGTATCGTTGTTTTTTTTTTAAACAATGGCTTATCAAAACATGTTACGAAGGAACTGAGGCTTTTTTGATCCTTCATTATTCCTATAAATCATACTTTAAACCAAACGTGCATAACATGGTCTATTCCAAACCATTTTTAAACTAAAGCTCCCAAAGTCCTTTGTCACTGACCCTTTTGCCAAGAGTAATGGGAACCAAGGTGTAACTTCTGGAGGACATCGGGCCATGTCTTCCTGGATTGAATTAACCGTAATTCCTAGTTCAGACATAATGACAAATCAAGGTAACTTTAACAAAAGAACTGAACTGATTGCATCTCTTGCCATTTTATATACCTGAGAAAGAAAATAGAGCTCTCGAGGAGGCATTTTTATGGCCAGTTTAATGTTTTGCCTGGATAGGGCCAAAGTTTATTCTTGCAGCCTGTTTTCAGTCTCTTAATTGAAGTTAAAAGTTTGGGGCGGTTACATTTGCACTAGACCACAGAAATCTCCTGATGCAAAGAGCATTGGTAACCGTATACCCATTACATGGGAATGTAGTCTTTGTGCCGCCAAATTAGACATGCTGAAAATCTAAACATGTTAAAATGAAAGTTACTGTCCCTCTTTCCACAGAGCTAGAAAGGCAATATAAAAAAGTACCTATTATTTACCGGATTACACGCAGCATGGAGGCAGGTGGTCTTAGCCATCTACCAAAGTTTAAGAAACTTGCAGCTCTCTCCAGCTAAAAATCAGAAAGGAACATATGTTTATGTGCTGTAGTCCTAACCCCCAGCTCTAAGAATGGAGCACAGTGTGAAATAATGAAGTTCTGTAATGAAACATGGGTAATTTGTTCAGGATCAGGCCTGTAGAGAAATCACTGAAGGAGTCCAGATAGAGAGCAGAACCATGGACAGCTCAACATAGAGACAACATGGCCAAATGTATCAAGCTAAGATGTTTCAGTTGGCATCTGAAGCCTACCTATAACAGCTCTTTACATGGTAGCTTTATTTCTTAGTCTGGACCAATGTTCCTCAACGTTGGCAGCTTTAAGCTATGTGGGCTTCAACTTCCAGAATTCCCCAGCCAGCCATGCTTAAAGTTGCCAAGGTTGAGAAACACTGGTCTGGATGATTACCTTAGGAGGAGAGTATCTGTGGTAACTAGAGCATAACTTTTTTTTTCCAAGATGGTGTTAGGTATGGAGGTCTTTCTAGTTCTACAACCATGGTTGTAGAGTGTGGTTGTTGTTGATGTGCTGAGCGAGCAACAGAGGTTCAAGGGCTGGCCTGTTGCTTGCACCAGGAGGGATCGTGTCCCTGATGCTTTGGAATCGGAGGTTGCTGAGAAAGAGGAGTTGGAGGGAATGGAGCAGAGAATGGGAAGAATCCAAAAGAAGTGCACAGTGAGGGAGAATGGAAACTGGTGTTTCTGCCCTGCCCGGCTTACCTGCATGCATAGGGAGACACTGGCAATGGCATGGGAGCACCAGCAGCTGCTCGTTGTGTTTGTTGGGGCTGCTGCAGAGACATCCATTGCTTTAGCAGGCATACAGACACTGAGAGACAGCTTGGTTGGGTTGGACTGAAGATCATGTTGATGGGGTGCTGTTGATCCAGCTGCAACATCTTGGCATCTAGACCTGGACTGGGACTCAAGTACTTTTGATAGATTTGTAGTCAAGAATGGTGATTTTGATCTTGATGGTAGGCAGGAGATGAATCAACTACACTGAAGAGTTTAGCTGGTGCTTGGAGGTTAGAAAGGGCTGAATTTCTGCTGATGGCAGGTAGGGGAACATTGGGAGTAGGACACTAACCTGTCTGGTCAGGAGATTTAGCAGCCTGTTTGAGTCTAAGCAATGAGAGCAGAAAGCAGTAAATAATACTCCCCAGGAGTGTGCCTGCTCAAATCTCTTCTGCCATTGATTGCTGAGTCTACCCGAGTGAGAGACAAGGCAGGAGACTAGATGAGAAGAAGACTGGAGGTAAAGGTCTGGAGTTCAAAGCCATGCTCCATGCCAGAATCCAAATCAATCCAGCCTCCACCTGAACACATCCAGTGAATGCCCATCACTTCTTTGGGCCATTGGTTCCAAGGTCAAACTGCACTTTTCTTAGGAGGCTTTTTCTAACCTTCAGTTGGAATCTATTGTCCTGTAAACCCAGTATTCCATGCCCTGCACTCCAGAACAAGAGGGACTTCCTTCTTGACCATCTTCTATCTGAATGAAGCCGATTTAGTACTGGTTTTACTTCTAAACAAATTTGTTTTAAAGTCATAGAAGTAAGTGAATTTCTGAATCTACAGTATCCATCTGGGACAGAAAGTTCAAACCATTAGATAGAATAGTTATGTTCACTTTATACCAAGAAATCCTCTAGAAGAGCTCCATCTTCACCAAATTCCAGAAGGCAATCAGCATCAGGGAAGTCTCACCTCTAAGGGGAGGCTGTTCCGTAGAAGAAAGGCCAAAGAAATCCCATCTCTTAGCTTCAGACCCTCTGCATGGAATTGAGGGACCAGCAGCAATTTTTCCTGGGATGTATGCATTGGACATGTTGATTCTGGCTGTAGAAGTGAACCCTGCGGGTATCTTGGCCCCAAGCCATATAGGGCTTTATAGGTCAGAACCGGTGTTTTAAATTGCACCAGGGAACTTTTTGGCAGCAAGATCACAGCACGGATGTAATATGCTTTTGGTATCTAATGCTAATTAACACAGGCAGCTCCATGTAGAACACATTGCAGTAGTCCAACCAGATAGTGATAAAAGCATGATTTATTATTGCAAGATAATAAACTTCCTCCTACTTCAGGTAGAGCTACAACTGATGCACCAGTTAAAGCTAGTCACTCTTAGGTAGATGCATTTGCTGTACAAGCTTAAGGTGTTCTCTGTATAACTGGCAAAAATACGTGTCAGCATTGATTTTTGTGCAAAAGTGGTTTGCGTGTCTAACAGTCATCAGGCTGTGAGGCAGAACTGGCCCAACTCTTGAATAAATGCTACTTTTATTAGCAAACATGTTACAGATGGACCTTGAAAGGCATGTGAGGTAGAGCATCAACATGAAAGGTTCAAGAACCTTTATTCATTCATACATACATACATACATACATACATACATACATACATACAATTTATAAGCTGCCCAACTCCCAGCAACTCTGGGCTGGTGACAGCAATGAGCCAACCAACCCTGTTTTCAAAAAAGCTAACCAGAGTTGGAGCTTGTTACTGCTATAATGGGAGACCACTAAGAAATTCCAGGACTATATATTAGATGGGAAGTATCCTATTATTAGACCCTAAATATCCTACTTCAGACACATTTGCAAAGACCCAGCTCTCTGGAAAAGGCTTTAATGCTGGCAAAGGTGAAAAGAAAGAGAAGAGGACAACCAGCAGCAAGATGGAAGCCATTGGAAGACCTGAAGACAGATCATCCTGGAGAAGATCTGCTTATGTGGACACCAATTTGTCATCAAACAAATCAACCAGAGTTCTCACTTAAGGCACAAATGATTAGGCTCAAATTATCATATTTTGGACAAGTTATGTGAAAACCCATCTCTCTTGGGAAGTCCTTAATTCTTGGAAAGGTGGAAGGAAAAAGAAGAGGAGGAGGACCAGCAGCAACATGGGTAGACTCAGTTACAGCAGTGGTGGGGACACTGTTGCAAGACCTGAAGGACCAGGTTGGAGGCAGATCATCATGGAGAAAATATATCTCAGTGGTCACTAAGAGTTGACAATGACTTGATGGCATGTAATCATCAATCATGTTAGATGGGAAAGTGCAAAAATATCCTAAAAGGAGGGAGCGGCAAACCATTTCTATACTTCTGCCAAGTTTATGTCCCATGTCACCATCACAAGTCAAGCTCTTGTTGAGAGAGACAAAAACACAGAGGAAGTTACAATGTAAAGTATTTCAGTGGCGGCTTTTTCTGAATAATAAGCATGCCTTTATTTCATTCCATGTAATAATTACGCAAGGCTTTCATTTTTGCAGAAACACCAAACTGCAACATTTCCGTTTTCCATGGGATAAGTTATATTCTATTGAGAAAGAGAGAGAAAACAAAAATTGTCACTGGCTTTATTAGTACAAGAACCCCAATATAACATATTCTGATGGTACGCAACATCTGTAAAATTAAGCAAGAGATACCCACATTCATCTTGACGGTGCTGATAACATTCAATAGTTAGATCAAGAAAGATTCACTACATCTATGGTGGGTGTATGAATGATTTAACAAACAACAGTCATAATATCAGAAATCACGGAAACCACATTAGGGATAAACCCATCACTAGTTTTATTTAATCAGATCAATGTTTCTCAACCTCAGCAACTTTAAGATTTATGGACTTCAACTCCGTACATTGTAGAAGTCCACACATCTTAAAGTTGCTGAGGTTGAGAAACACTGAATTAGATGATAAAAGAAAATAGCTCAGAGGTTATAAAATTGCACTTTATGAATTGATTAATGTTTCCACTATTGATCTAAGTCCTTACATGGAAAAATCCTTGTTGGCTGTCAGTAAAGAAACACAGTTGTTGACTTTAGGAATAGCAAAGACAGTAAACTAAGGGTTATGTACAAGAGAATTAAAAATAATTTAAGAGTCAGGATTTGCAGATAAATGGATTTTACTTAACCGTTATATGTTTTGGTAATGCAATGCAGTGTAGTGTAGTGTAGTGTAATGTAACCTGGCCAAACTATTGTGGGAAATGTCCCCTTTATGTTCTCTTTAATTTTTTTAGATAAATACTGACAGATCTGAACATGTACTTCATCTGTATAGCTTACTCTATGTTTATGCATATATCTTTTTTGTTTGGTTGGTTGGTTTATAATTCTGTGGTTTTATTTTTGGATCCTCTGTGGAGATGTTAGATAAACTGAAGGATCGCTGGCTACACACCAGCTTATGGGAGAAGCTTGAGTTGGTTAAAACGGTCATTGTGGAACCCAAAGGCAGTGACAAAGCTGATTTTGATGGGCTGCTGCAGATATACTACGATGCCATCAAATGTCAGAAAGACAGAGGTAAGTAAAAATGCAGGAAGTGTAAAGCTTGGCTGTTGACTGGAACAAGGTTCCAGCATATTACATAGCTGCTGCCAGAGGCGGTTCCCTGTGAGAAGCACCACCATCTCACGTGCTTCTAGGACACCCTCTGCCACTTCCTGACCTCACTGAGATGTCCAGTTCTTTGCCTCTTTGCCACATTATTCCTTGCACGCCTCAGGCACATTGCTGCACCGCTGAACCATGGCAGGGGCTTTAATGAATAAAACCTGAGTTCATAGTGCACGTAGTGAAGTAGGAGTATACCTAAAATGTCATGATGGTGGCCACACCATGGTGATCAAAGACGTGCCCCTTTTTTATGTGCCTCACACATGCTGCCATCTTAAATTTTGGGACACACCCAACACCCCCTTCTTCACCCCTCCCCTGGGTGATCCTATAGTGGAGGCTGATACTATCCTGGGAAATAAAGCTGACAGTCTTTTCAAGTACTCATTTAGCCAAAATTGCAAACAACTTGGTTCATGATGTTACACCACTGTGTCCTTTTGCTCTAGGCGGAGCACTTCTTATTGCTGTGTGCAGAGGCAAAGTTAGTGAAGGTTTGGATTTCTCTGATGACAACGCCCGGGCGGTTATCACCATTGGAATTCCATTTCCAAACGTGAAGGATCTTCAGGTGGGATACTCTTAAAATTAGTTATGGTGTATTTGCACAAGAAGGGAGTGGCATGAATTCCTGAATAAATATATTGTTAAATGTTAGCAGTTTTGTTTTGTTTTGTGGAGCAAAATATAAATGTGTAGTGCATTATGTCCATCCAATATTCTTTGTCTTCTATAAGAATAAGTATAGTTTCTTTATAAGAAATAAAGAATCTTTATTTTTTTTCTCTATTCCTTTGATTCAGAACTGAGTTTCTAGAGATCATCCTGTTTTAATTAATTGGTTGACTTTTCCTTCACTCCCTAGATAGAATCTGGCTTTTCTATTATCTTGTCTGTTTCTTGGAGATCTACACCAGTTATATAAAATGGTCTCTGATTTAATTAAAAAGTATGTACCTAGTATACTACTTTCTAAAATAGCAGTATAATACATCTGCTAATCTGAATAAATAATAGAAAGAAAAACAATTTTACAATTTTACAAAAGAATTTTACATTCTTTCTGATCTTTGATTGATTGATTGATTATGCGCCATCAAGTTGGTGTTGACTCTTAGCAACCACATAGATACATTTTCTTCAGGAGGATCTGTCCCTAGCCTGGGCCTTCAGATATTGTAATGATGCACTCATCGCCACTGTCACTGTCACTGAGTCCATCCACCTTGTTCCTAGTCATCCTCTTCTACTCTTTCTTTCCACCTTTCCCAGTATTATGGACTTCCAAACTGTTTCACCGTTGTTCTTGGGCTGGGCCTTCTTTGTTGCAGCCCCCACCCTCTGGAGCAGCGTCCCCCCAGAGATAAGGATGGCGCCCTCTCTCCTAGGATTCAGGAAAGCTTTGAAAACTTGGCTTCGTCCCAGGCTTGGGGTTGATGTTTATTATTTGTTCAATGGCCCCTGTTTTGTTCTGCTAATTTTGCTGTTTATTAGATTATTTTAGCCTGGGCTTTCTGTTTGATTTAATGTTTTTGGCTGTTTTTATGTTTTTTCTAGTTTTGTACACTGCCCAGAGTCCACTGGAGTTGAGCAGCCAATAAATTTAAATAATTAATAGTAATAATAATGTTTAATTTTAATCTTATTGTTGACGTGGAGGTCTGCAAATTATTCATTGGACATGATCAGAGAGACATATAAGACTGGTAAAAAAAAAAATCAAACTTACTTCAGTTGGTGAGGAGGAACATGTTCCTGTCTTAAGGAATCATACATTTCAACATCTCACCATCCATCTTTTTAAAAAGCTCTACAGAGACAGAAGTTAAGGGTTGGCTTCTTAAATCTAACTGGACATGTCTCCTGTTTTTTTAAAAAAATGGAATTAAAGTTAATACTGTTGTGTTCAGTCCATAGGCATGTTAGATAGAATCAGTCAGAATATTTTTCTTTGATCTTGGAACTTGTCTATTCCAATGCTGGAATGGAGTTCACCTGTTAAAGCTTGCACATGGCTTGGGTATTATGGAAAAATATCTCCATAATCTTCAGAGGTTGGCTATTCCAGCATAAAAAAAAAAAAGAACTGTTAAGAGTCAGTACTAAAACTAGCTTGGCTCTGGAGGAGCAGGAAAATGTATGTTTGAGCCAAATAATTACTTCTTCAGTGGTGTCCAGATTTCCTCTGATTACCTTTGGGATTTCTGCACTGGAATAGAAAAATGGGATTTTTGGAGCCAGCAGATCTTGGTGAACTGGCCTTGTAAATTACTGCTTATCTCAAGAAGTTCACCATGAAATGTTGACAGTGGGCAGCTCTGAAGAGCAAAATGTAAGCTCCTGCAGAGAGGTTTTCTCTTTTAGCCCAGATGCCACTTAAGAGTCCTTAATTCAGGAAGAGGCAATTGTAGCAGAAATGCCGCATAGGGAAAAATGCGATGTGTGCAAATATAAAGTCGTAGGGAATTTGGTTTCCTGCTAATAAACCAAAGCATAACCTACATGGTTTGTGCTCACTTGCTCTCATCTTTAAACAATTGTCTTTGCTGTTCAAAAATTAACTTAGGAGGACAGATAACCAGGAATACAACAACGTGATTTGTGAACCATGATGAAGTTCATCAATTCAGTTACACATTTCACTGCTTGAGGATTGTGTTAATGATGCAAAATATTTTCATGCTGCAACTTCATTTACAAGTGAATATGTGTAGCTCAGGGTTGAACTGTGGAGTCCTTGGAATTCTCTGGGCTTGGCTGTTTTCTTGCAAACGTTTTGTTACCTGACTAGGTAACATCTTCAGTGCTAGAATGGAATGGTAAATTTTCCCTCTGGTAGTTCTTTGATTAGGGCAGAAGGTTAGCAGAAAGAATTCGTGGAAGCTTGGTGTTCAGACAAGACTGCCATCAACAAGCACACAGAGATAAACAACATCTACACACTATTCAAAAGAAACAATATAAAGGAAAACAAAAGATCAGAACATCTCCTCACCAGCAATCATCACCCAGATAAGCAGAGATTAACTCCAAGATTTATTACCAGACATGCAATCAGCAGTAAACAATACCCTAATCAAGGAACTACCAGAGGGAAAAAATAAAACAAAACAACCCCCCCCAAAACTGGCAGGGCATGCCACTGTATATAAATAGAGAGCAAACCCCATTCCCTTCTAACACTGAAGATCTTACCTAGCCAGGTAACGAAATGTTTGCAAAAAAACAGCCAAGCCCAAAGAACCCCAAGGACTCCACAGTTCATTTAGAGTTTTGATTAGAAATCAAATGGTTCTCAAATGACAAGCTACCACTCATATCTAAAATCTGTTTCTGTTTCCCCATTTTCAGCTAGCAGAGAAGAAATAGCTTGTTTTATTATATTATTCATCATAACTGTGGAGTCCTTGGGGTTCTCTGAGCTTGGTTCTTTTCTTGCAAACGTTTCATTACCCAGCTAAGTAACATCTTCAGTGCTAAAATGGGATGGGGTTTGCCTCTATGTGCTGTGCCCTGCCTTGCCAGTGCTGGTACGGGTGGGGGTTTTGTTTTGCTCCTCTGGTAGTTCTTTGATTAGCATATATTTACTGCTTGATTGTGTGCCTGGTGGTAACCTTTGCTTATCTGGGTGATGATTGCTGGTG